CAATGGACAGGGCAACCGTGAGGGGATTGAGGTTCTGCTGTGGAAAATCAAACCGCCCCTGGTTGCCCTGTAGCTGGTCGGTCTGGACAGCGGCGCACCCGCTCGCCGACCGATGTATCGCCGTCGTCGTCGCGCACTTTGAGGTGCGTCGGCGTCGTCGCATCGCACATGCACATCGACTCGAAATGCCGGAGGTGCGAGAGGCGGGTGAACAACTACCAAATGACATGTGCGCAGCGCAATGTGCAGGGCAACCGCTAGCGGTTTGAAGCCCCACTGTGATAGTTCCAGCCGCCCTGGGTTGCCCTGCATCTGGCGGTCTGGAAAATGGCGCACTCGTTTGCCGACCGATGCATCGCCGTTGTCGCCGCGCACTTTGGGGCTCGCCGGCGTCGTCGCATCGTTCGCGCAGGTCGATCCGCAATGCCCGAGGAGCGAGAGGCACGCGACGCACTTCCGAGTGACACGTGCGCAGCGCAATGTGCAGGGCAACCACTAGCGGTTTGCCCTGCATCTGGTCGGTCTGGAAAGTGCCGACCGATGCATCGCCGTCTTCGACGCGCACTTTGAGGCGCGTTGGAGTCGTCGCATCGCTCACGCAGATCAATTCGCAACGTCCGAGGGGTAAGAGGCGGGCGAATCGCTTCCGAGCGACACGAGCGCAGCGCAATGTGCAGGGCAACCACTAGCGGTGTGAAGTTCCACTGTGGAATGTAAAAAACAGCGAATGTCTCCCCTGCATCAGGTCGGCCTGGAAAACGGCGCACTCGCTTGCCGACAGATGCATCGCCGTCGTCGTCGCGCACTTTGATGCGCGTCGGCGCCGTCGCAAAGTTCAGGCAGATCGACTCGCAGCGCCGGAGGAATGAGAGGCGGGCGAACCACTTCCGACTGACATGTGCGCAGCGCAATGTGCATGCCAAACACTAGCGGTTTGCCCTGCATCGGGTCGGTCTGGAAAAATGGCGCACCCGCTTGCCGACCGATGCATCGCCGTCGTCGTCGCGCACTTTGAAGCGAGTTGGAGTCGTCGCGTCGTTCATGCGGATCGCTTCGCGGCGACCGAGGAGCGAGAGGCGGGCGAGCCAGTTCAGAGTGACAGGGCAACATGAACGGTTTGACGTTCCACTGTGGATTTTAAACCGCTCATAGTTGCTCTGCATCTGGTCGGTCTGGAAATGGGGGTGCAATTGCACGCCGACCGATGCGTCGCCGTCGTCGTCGTGAGATTTGGGGGGAGTCGGCGTCGTCGCGTCGTTCATGCGGATCGCTTCGCGGCGCCCGAAGAGCGAGCGGCGGGCGAACCACTTCCGACTGACACGTGCGCAGCGCAATGGACAGGGCATGCGCGAGCGGTTTCAGGTTCTGAAATGGAATTTCAATCCCCCCCTTCTTTCCCTGAGTCTGATCGGCCTGGGCATTCGCTTGCCGAAAGATGCGTCGCCGTCGTCGTCGCGCACTTTGAGGCGGGCTGGCGTCGTCGCGTCGTTTACGCAGGTCGGTTCGCAACGCCGGAAGGGTGAGAGACGGGCGAACCACGTCCGACTGACACGTGCGCAGCGCAATGTGCAGGCCAAACACTAGACTAAATGTTTGCCCTGCTTCTGGTCGGTCTGGAAGACGGCGGATTCGCTTGCCGACCGATGCGTCGCCGTCGTTGTCGCGCACTTTGAGGCGCGGCGGCGCCGTCGCATCGTTCACGCAGGGTTATTCGCGATGCCCGAAGAGTGAGAAGCGAACGCAATTCTTCCGCTTGACACGTGCGCAACGCAATACGCAAGGTGACCATAAACGGATGAGAACCCCACTGTGGAGTTTCATACACCTCGTTGCCCTGCATCCGGTCGGTTTGGAAAATGGCGCAGTCGCCCGCCGACGGATGCAGCGCCGATATTGGCCGCGCACATTGAGGCGCGCCAGCGTCGTTGCATAGTTCCCTCGGATCGATTCGCAGCGCCCGAGGAGTGAGAGTCGGGCGAACCACCGCCGAGTGACATGTGCGCAACGCGATGCGCAGGGCAACCAGTAGAGATTTACCCTGCATTTGGTCGTGCTGGAAGGTGGCCCACTCTCTCGACGACTGATGCATCGGCGTCGTCGTCTCGCACTTCGGGGCGGGACGGCGCCGTCGCATCTTTCACGCGGATCGACTCGCAGCACACGGGGTGAGAAACGGGCGAACCGCCGCCGAGTGACATGTGCGCAGCGCGATGCGCAGGGCAACCGCTAGCGGTTTCGACTGCATCTGATCGGTCTGGAAGGTGGCGCACTCCCCCGACGACTGATGCATCGCCGTCGTCGTCGCGCACTTTGAGGCGCGCCGGCGTCGTCGCCTCGTTCACGCGGGTAGACCCGTAGCACCCGAGGAGCCAGACGCGGGCGAGCCACTTGCTCAACGCAATGCGCAGGGCCACCAGCGCTTGAAAGTGCCACTGTGGAATTTCAAACTTCTCACGGTTGCCTTGCATCTGGTCGGTCTGGAAAACGGCGCACGCGCTCGCCGACCGATGCATCGCCGTGCTCGTCGCGCACTTTGAGGCGCGCCAGCGTCGTCGCATCGTTCGCGCAGATCGATTCGCAGCGCCAGGGGAGTGGGAGGCGGGCGAACCACTACCGACTGACATGTGCGCAGCGCAAAGTGTTGGGAAACCAGTAGCTGTTTGCCCGTGCCCTGCATTTGGTCTCTCTGGAAAATGGCGCACTCGCTCGCCGACCAATGCGTCGCCGTCGTCGTCGCGCACTGCGAGACACGCTGGCATCGTCGCATCGTTCATGCGGATCGATTCGCAATGCCCGAGGAGTGAGAGGCGGGGTAACCTCTTCGCAGCCACATGTGTTCAGCGACATCTGCAAGGCAACCAGAAGCGGCTTGAAGCTCCACTGTAGAATTTCAAACAACTCATTTTTGCCGTGCATCCGGTCGGTCTGGAAAGTGGCACATTCGCTCGCCGACCGATGCATCGATGTCGCCGTCGCGCGCTTTGAAGCGCGTCGGCATCGCCGACTCTTCTTCATGCAAGTCGGCTCGTAGTGCCCGAAAGTGAGAGGCGGGCGAACCTGTTCTGAGTGACATGAGCGCAGCGCACTTTGCAGGGAAACCACTAGCGGTTTGTTTCGCATCTGGTCGGTCTGGAAAGTAGCGCACTCGCTCGCCGACCGATGCGTCGCCGTCGTCGTCCCGCATCTTGAGGCGCGTCGTCATCGTCGTCTCTTCCTCACGCAGACCGAGTCGCGACCGACGCATCTCCGTGCCCGTCGCGCACTTTGGGGTGCGCTGGCGTCGTCGCGTCGTTCACGCAGATCCATTCGCAGCGCCAGAGGAGTGAGGCGAGCGAACAACTTCGGAGTGACACGCGCGCAGCGTAATGTGCAGGGCAGGCACAAGCGGTTTGAAGTTCAACGGTGGAATTACAGACTGCTCACGGTTGCTCCGCATCCAGTCGGTCTGAAAAGTGGCGCTCTCGCTCGCCGACCGATGTATCGCCGTCGTCGTCGCGCACTTTGAAACGCGTCGGCTTCGTCGCATCGTTCGTACAAATCGATTCGCAATACCGGGGAAGTGAGAGGCGGACGAACCACTTCCGACTGACACGCGCGCAACGACATGCGCAGGGCACCCGTAAGCGTTTTGCTCTGCACTTGGTCGGTCTGGAAATGGAACACTCGCTCGCCGAGCGATGTATCGCATCCATCGTCTCACACGTTAAGGCGCGCTGGCGTCGTCGCGTCGTTCATACATATCGACATGCAATGCCGGAGGAAACAAAAGCGGGCGAACCACTTCCGAATGACACGTGCGCAGCGCAATGCCCAGGGCAACCGTGAGCTGTTTGAAACTTCGATTGCCACTACAGTGACTCTGCCAAAATGCAACGCCTCCTGTTAGGCGACGGGGCCCTGGTACAACGATGTCAGTGGCGATGCGCCCGCGACAAGAGAGGAGACGTGAAAGAGGCCCTGTGGGCCGCGGGGCCCCAGCACAATGTTTTGTTAGGGCGTGGTTTTGTTCAAGTCTCGGGCGGATGCGCCCTTTCGAATTCGAGCCCGATGGCCGAAATCCGGTGAAGATCGTCTTGTTGAGGGAATTTCAAGCGAAAACCATGCTTTCAAAATCTGGTCGGATATTCGAATTGTTTGATGCCAAACGATGTGGACATTTCGAAACGACGGTTTCGTTTGAGACTGCCTGAAGCAAGCAATGGAAAAACGATTTCGAAATTGTCGGGCTCGATCTCGAAATGGCGCTCCCGCCCCAGACTTCTTCCAAACTTTCGTATCGGGTCAAGACTTTCGTATGGCCGCCCGGAAGCACGAAACGGGTCAATTGTTTCGCATCGCAGATGCATCTACATACGAGAGGAAGGGAGGGAGAAACAAAAGAGAGAGAGAGAGAGTGGGAAAAAACACTCGCAGCTTTCCGCGCTTAAAAAAACAATCAAGTTTCCGACTCCATGGCCCCAAACAGGCCGACCCAGCACAAGGCGACCCCCAAGCCCAAAGATGGCCTAAAGCCGGAGACCAGTCTAAGACGGCCACTGACCCCAGAAGACGACTCCAAGACTCCCAAAGACGGCTCAAGGAACCGCCGCACTGCTCTGGACTCCCAGCACTCACCTAATCCTAGTACGGCTCCAAGAAGCCCTGGCGGCGCGGGCCCCCAAGATACGCCGGCGAGACCCGTAAGGGGCAAAGCAACAACAATGCAACGCTACAGCCGTACAACGCTGAAACTTTGCCATGCAACTGACCACCAAACGATACGTGTGTGTGATATTTGTATATATATATATACACATCGATGCATACATACGCATGTATACACGGCAGAACAGATGGATCGCAGAGGCACCGCGTTTGTCCGCACCAGCTGGGCACGTTCTTTGCGCATCAGGCCTGGAGCAAACGGGTGCGAAGATGGAACCTACAACGTGGGCCGTGGATCCTCTCAAAGGCATCGCGGCGACCAGCTCCGCAGGCACAGCCTCCTTTCGGGCCTACTTTTACCTTTCTTTGGAGCGTGGGCTCTCCGTGGGCTTGATCATCGGTGCCAGGAGGATACCGTTTGCTGTGCAAATCGCGTTCGGGGCGCCGCAGATTCCGTTGCAGCACACGGCTCCAGGAGAGCAGCAGATGTTCCCACAGCACGTGCTGAGCATGCCACATACGATCTTGCCCGCGCAGCATGTGGAGAACGGAGCGCCAGCGATACCGTTGCAGCACGTCGCGTTGACGGGGATTGGCAGTGCGCCGCAGTACTTCTGATTTGGGCCGAGGGGTCGGCGGGACGCGTCTTCCACCGTGGGGGCGGGCACCGGCATCAGCACGGGGCTAGTGCTGACCTCAGCCGGGAAGCGCTCCAGCAGGTAGCTCAGCCGCGACTGCAGCTCGGTAATGTTGTCCTTCAGGGCCTGCACGGCTGCCGCGCTGGCCGGGCCCGCCGCCTCCTCCAGGGAGTGCATCTGCGTCTGGAGCTCGGTGACGTTGTCCCTCACAGCCTGCACGCCTGCCCCGCTGGCTGCGTCCGCCGTCACCTCCATGGGGAACTGCCGACAATACACCGCCGCTGCTGCTCGCCAGGCCCCTCCTGGTCCCACGATCGGTGTGTAGACACCCTGGGATACAGTCCTCGTGCTGTCGTGGCCAAGTAAGGCATGAAGGGGCTTGTCTGGCTTCGGCGAGCCTCGAACACGAACAGGTTCCCCAATCGAGATCTAAGGAGCGGGCAGAAAACCAAAGCCCTCCGAAGCCCAAAGTGGACCTTGTTTCAGCGTCTTGACCGTATGCCACAGGGCTCTTTACACCAAGAAAAGATCTACGAGGGGCATGGTCAGTAGCAGCGGCAGCGTACAGTTTGAAGTTCTCGACCTCGAGGACCACGGCGCCCTGCGCCACTCGGCTCAGCTGCACTCGCCCGTCGTGCAGCATGGAGCGGCCAGCGAACGCAGCCGTCGCGAGAACCACGAGCGCTCCAAGCACGGCGGCCACCGCCGCGTGCCGCCCAAGGCGGCGGGGTGGCTGGCCAGCCTCTCGGGTCAACGGCGGCCAGGGGACAAACTAACCTCAGGCCTGACAGGAGCCCCCCCACATTCCGCGGCCAAATGCAAGGCGGTGAGAACCACGTTCACGGGCTGTCTGTGCGCACCCGTGCGGCGTGCCACTCACCACCCTCATCCAACAAAAGGGACCCCAAGGCCGCAACTCTGCCGGGCCTCCACGCGAGGAATTCCAGAGCCAGATCGAGCCATGAAGGTCCCAAAGGCCCGAACCGGATTAGAAACGCAGGCCCAAGACGGAGCAAAGGCGCCCGCCCATGTCTTCGTTCACGACACCGGGATAGCTAGGTCACCGAACTTCGCGCACCGCGATCCGCGATCCGCGACGCACGGCCTATCCTCGCGCATTCGCGAGGCCGCCATGGACTCTTCTGCTCAAACCACCACATCCGAAGCACGATGGCCTTCGTGCTCCCGTGGGTCACCCAGGGTGTTCGGACTTGACCTCGGCTAGACCTAAGAGTGATCCTGGGCGACAGTGATCTTTGCTTCACGGCTTGCCGATCGTTGCACACGGTCGACAATAGCGGCCTCTGTGATCGGGTTTACCCCCCCGCCGCTCCCCACTGAAGCCACGCACCAGAGGTAACTCTGGCGAAAAGCCACTCTCTCACGCGCAGCCGATCTCCTCCCTCCATGGCTTGCGGACAGCACTCGTGTCTGCAGCGGCCGTTCGGGACGCTTCGAGCACCCCCAGAACCCTCTCGGCGAGGCGCAGCTGCTAGAACGCACCTCGAGGCAGGAAAACCTGCAGGAACCGACGAAAACCTCTGGGAGCCCACGTCCAGACACTGGCGTAGGTTTTCCTAGGGCCTGATGGCCTCCAGGCCCTCGCCGCCATGCTCCGTGGACGACCCCTCCTCCGCGCTGTCGCTGGCGACGGCGGCGAGCGCGCGGGGCAACATGGGCGCGCGCCAGCCGCGGAAGGCCGTGGGGTGACACGGCAGGGCGGAGAGCCCCCCCCTGTCTGCGCAACTTGGCGGCGGTGGCCCCGGCGCAGAGGGCTGGGGGGCGAGACCTAGACAGAGCCACCGCCCCTGGCCAGGCCCATCCTGGGTCCAGGAGCATTGCGTGTCTGTCTGTCTGTCTGTCTGCCTGCCTGCCTGCCTGTCTCTGTATGTCTGTATATATGTATGTATGTATGCACGCATGCAGGATAAGTATGTATGTATGTATGTATGTATGTGTGTATGTATGTATGTATGAATGAATGAATGAATGTATGTATGTATGTGTGCATGTGCATGTATGTGTGCGTGCGTTATGTATGTATGTATGGATGTATGGATGTGTCGATGTTTGTGTGTATGCGATATATGTGTGTATATGTACGCTCGTGTTTGTCTGGATGTGTGTGTGTGACGTTATACATGTATGTGTGTCTGCATGCATGCATTTATTTATATATATATATATGTATATATATATGTGTTTGTTTGCATGTGTGTGCGTGTGTACGCATGCATGTTTGTTTGATTACACGTATGTGTACATGTGTGTACGTATGTATGCGTGCATGTATGTATGTGTATGTCTCTGTATATGAGGTCTGTGTGCATGTGTGTCTTTATGTGTATGCACGTATGCATGAACGCGTGTATGTGTGTATGTGTACAGGTGTTTGCGTGTATGCGTGTACGTCTGTATGTACGTATGTGTGTATGTGTGTATGTCTGCATGTATGCATGCATGCATGACTGTATGTAGATGTGTATGCACGTCTGTGTGTATGTATGCATGCTTGCATGTATGTATGTGTGTATGTGTGTAGCTAGGTGTATATGTGGGTGTATGCCTGTACGCATGCATTCATGTGTGTATGCATGTGTGCGTGTATGTCTGTATGTGTGTATGTGTGTATGCATGTGTGCATGTATGTGTATGGTAATGTGTATGCCTGTATGTGCGTGAGTATGAGTGTATGTATGCTTGTAGGTGACCGTGTATGTATGAATGTAAATGCGTGCGTGGTTGAATTTATGGATGCATGTATGTCTGGCTGTATGTATGCATGTGTGTATGTATGTATGCATGTATGTATCGACGTATAGATGTATATGTATATGTATATATATATATATGTATGTGGTCGTGTGTATGGGTGTGTGTGTACGTGCATGTGTGTGTATGTATGTATACAAGTATGCATGCATGTATGTATGTATGTATGGATGGATGGATCGATGTATGTATGTATGTATGATTGTATGTATGTATGTGTGGGTGTGGATGTATGGATGTATGAGTGTATGTACCTATGTCTGTCTGTCTGTCAATATGTATGCCTGCCTGTCTGGCCGTATGTATGTCTGTCTGTCCGTCTGTCTGTAGTATGTATGTGTATGTATGTATGTGTTGTGTCCATGCTTGTTTGTATGCATGTATGTATGTATGTATGCTTGTATGTCCGTATTTGTGCCTGTATGTATGCATGTATGCATGTATGTATAGTTATGTGTGTGCGCGTGTGTGTGCTCGTGTGTGTGTGTGTGTGTGCGAGAGCGCGTGTGTGAGTGCGAATGTGTGATTGTGTGTGTGTGTGCGTGAATATCTGTGTGTGAGAGTGTGCGAGTGTGTGTGTGTCTGTGCGAGTGTGTGTGTGTGTGAGTGTGTGTGTGTGTGCGTGTGTGAGAGTGTGTGCGAGTGTGTGTGTGTGTGTGAGGGTGTGAGTCTGTGTGTGTGTGACTGTGCGTGTGCCCCCCTGGCCCCCTCCCATGGCGCGCAAATCGCGCCACGGGCGGAGCAGAAGTCGCCGCGAGGGGGACTCCAGCACCGACCGAAAAATTGAGCGAGGACCTCCGAAAGGCTATTTACGCAGACGATCTTGAAATTCTTTAAACGACGCCTGCGTGCGAGGGCCCCCCGACTCCTTTTCACTGAATACAGCCCTCCGAGCGCACCAGCACGCTGGCATCAAAGCCGCGGCCCTAATGACGGCGAGGGCGGGCCAAAATGCAGGAGAAGCGTTGCCTCGCGGGTGGGCTAGCCGAGTAGGCGCTCGTGACGGCCGCCGGTCCCAGCATCCCCCCCCCCCTCCCTCCTGCTCCTCCTCTGGTTTTCCTCCTCCTCCTCCTCCTCCTCCTCCCTCCCCGTCCTCCTCCTTCCACTCGTCCCCCCCCTCCTTCCAGCCTTCTCTCTCCTCCTCCCAAACTCTCCCTCATCCCCACCTCTCCCTCCCGTCCTTCTCCTCCTCCTCCCCCTCCTCCTCCTCCTCCTCCATCTCCTCCTCCTCCTCCTCCTCCTCCTCCTCCTCCTCCTCCTCCTCCTCCTATATCTTTTTGTCATTGGGGGAGGAAGGAGGAGGAGAAGGAAGGAGGCGGCGGAGGACCAGGGTTGCACTGCTCGACAGACAGAGCACCGCAGCGCCTAGCCAAGAAAGGGAGGAGGGGTGAGGGAGGAGGAGGAGGAGGAGGAGCATGAGGAGTGGGTGGGCGAGAGAAAGGAAGGACAGAGAGAGGGGGAGAGGGAGCCAGGAATGATGAGCGAGGTGGAGGAAGAGGTGGAGAAGAACAGAAGGAGCAAGGGAAGGAATAATGGTAATACGAATAGAACGGCTAATACTAGAAACTAGATTTGTCAACGTAAGACGGCATAGCACAATACAAATAAGACTAACAAGGTATGAAGATGAGGAGCTGGAACAAGGAATGGATGAGGAAAAGGAGGAAAGGCACGACGATGAGGACGAGGAAAACTGGACTGGACTGGAACTTTGGGAATCCAAGTGAACAGTTCCTCAACCAAACGAACCTGACTTCGCAAGCAACGCCGCCGAGCCTTCTGAAGGATTCCACTGTATGCCACTACCTGACACTCTGCCCAGCGCCGCCCTCTGCAGAGCAGCGCTGGCCCTGGCCACATACCAGCGCTCGAGCACGCAGCCCTGCTGGGTGGGCTCTCAGGCACGGGACGAGTCCCCCCCCCTTCCCCGACCCCCCGACACCCGACCACGACCACTGGACGACGCCCGCCCCCTCCCTCTACCAAACCCTCGCAAGTGAGACGGCAAAACTACGACGGGTACTGTTGGCAGCTCAGGATTTGAGTAGCTAGGCACAGCTCGCGCGCACGCGCACTCAATGAACGAGCCCCCAGGGCCTCGAGAGGCGCATTATGATCGACAATGCCCCGTGCCACGAGCTGCTGAAATCGGAGACTGGATTGCATCCGGCTCACTAGCGATCGTTCCCGATCAGTGACGACACTTCGCGGTCCAACGGCCCCCTCGGGGCTGGGCCAGGCAGATACACGCCACCCTCCATAATCACGAGCTGCTCCATCAGCGTCGCGATATGCTTGCAAAGCGCCGAATCTCGGTGGAACTTCATGTAGAAAGCCCCCTTCTGCGGGGCGCTTTCGCCCTTGCGGAAGATTTTCAGACGAAAGCATGGGCACGCCCTCGCCACCTCCAGCATCTCGCCCCGCCTGATGACCTCCCACATCTCGACGAACTACTTATTCAGTTTCTCCTGCTCCTCCTGCTTGGGGCCCGCCGACGACGTGAACGTCGCGCCGTAGTAGGCCGCGCCCATGACGATGGACATGTGTGGCGGTCCGCCTCTTGCGGAAGTCCACCTTCTCGCCATTTTTGCCCTTCTCCTCCAGGTCCTTCAACTCCTTGTCGTACGATCGTCTCGACTGCTGGCACGCTGCGACCAGCCCGCCTGACGCCAATACCTCGTGCCTGGAACGCTGCGGGCGAGACGTCGGCGACTCCGCGCGACAAGGACCACAGGATGAGCTTGCTCGTCGCCGCCTGCAGCCGCTCCTGCCTGCTGCTGCCGCCGCCGGCGGTGGGGCGACCGCCCCCTGCCCCCCTCGTCTGGGCCCCTGCCTCCTCGCCATCGCCGTCGAAGAGCCACCTGCGGGAGGACATGCTCGTCCTCCTCGTCCTCCTCCTCCTCCTCCTCCTCCTCCTCCTCCTCCTCGTCCTCCTCCTCCTCGTCCTCCTCCTCGAGCCGCGAGGGCACCGCCACGTCGGAGCCCGCGCTGCCGCCCGCGGCCGCCGCCTCGGACACCCGCGCGAGGAAGAGAGAGGGTACCGGTGGTTGGTATGGAAGGTGACCGCACACAGGGTCGCACAGTTGCAGGAGGCTCGAGCCCTCATGCGGACATCAGGGGCATGCCAGAAACGCCAGGCTTGTCGCTGTCGGTTTCGATGTCGAGGGCCCCCTGGTCTCACACGTTCCCCTGGCCAGTGAGCCTTGCAAGTGGCGGGCCGCGGTAGAACTGCTTGCAAACACTTGCCTGCAAGTGATGCAGATGTTGCTCGGGGTAAGCTGGTGAAATAATTTGTGAAGACCATGAACACGACGTACATGAGTCATCAGCTCCCGTCTATGAGAAAAGGTCGCCTCGCAGATAAAACCAGAACTCCCTGGGCACCCCGCAAACCAGCCTGTCATCTTCCTCTCCCAGCTCCCCCTGTTCAAGTAGATGTGGGGACCGAAGGGCGCAGGTTGGCAACCCGACCTCTGCATGAATTTCGTTACCGTAGTGATCCCCTTTTGTAACCCGATTCCGGGCCAACAGCTTTTGCTCCGATGGTGGTGGTATACTTCTAGAATAGACCCTGGCCCTGAGCTCCGAGAAATCGATCAAGACAAACTCCGAAGCCCGCTCCTGGTCCCCCAAGATCCCCAAGTCATCGACTAGCTCATCCAAGACGCTGCTATCTAGAACTCTAGCCGCTTCCTCACAGTCTGCGTGCAATTGTCGCACCCATGGGGAAGCGTAGCCGGTAGGGCGTCCTTCGGACAGCTGCGGGCGGTCGGCGTCCACGGGGACGAGGAAGAGGGCGAGGAGAAGGAGGAGGCGGCGGAGGAGAAACAGCGGCGGGGCGAAGAGGCAAAAAATGAAGAGCATCGTGGGAAGGGGAGGAGTGGGGAAGAATGGGCGAGGGGAGGAAAGATTGAGTGAAGGGGGCGGGGTCTCGAGGGACAGAGGAGGGGAAGGAGGAGGGGAAGGAGGAAAAGGAGGAGGAGGAGGACGACGACGACGGAGGCGAGGACGACGAGAAGGACGAACCCTGAGCGCAGGAGGGCCTGGCCGAAAGCCGAGCGGCCGCCACGATGGCCCCGCCATGCTTCGCAGGCACCGCCCCGGGAGCGGGAACAGGCGGCAGGGGGGGGGGGGCGGGGCGGCGATCACCGACGGCCCGCAGCCCCGACGTCCCTTGCATCGTCGGGCCCCGGGACCTCCATGATAAATGAGGAGCCCACAAAGGACGTACGCGCCCAGCTATGTACATGAACACGGCCCCTCGATTCGCGAGACGGGCTGCGTTATACGAACATTTGTGCAATGCGTGCTCTCGAAACCAGCTTGGATTCATGTACATGTACGTCCTTCTTTCGCTCCTGAATAAAGAGGCCCCCAAACCAGGTGGTGAGATAGCAGGTGACGACCTGGAACCCCCAAGAAGTCACCGCCAGGTTTTGGGACGCGGGGTCACCGCCGAGGTTGGTGACCCCTGGACCCACCAGCGTTCGGGGCATCCCCGAAAAACCACACGAATCCCCAAACCGGGTGGTGATACCAAATCGCCCGAGACTCACTGCCCGGTGTTGTCACCACCCTGTTTGGGGACTATACCAAAATATGAACAGACCCGGGCCGGCCGTGGACGGCCCCGGAAGCCGCGAAGACGGGCGCGCAGAGGCCACAGAGCGTGACGAGCTGGCCGCCTCGAGCTCTCTGCGGCGGCGCGGGTCCCCAGACATCCGCCGACATGATGCCCTCAACCCGCGGCCCCAGAGGTCCCGACCTCTTCCCCCGGGGGTGGCGCTTCGCCCCGGATCCATGCTGGATGGCCCCCGGCCACGGGCCCCGGAGGCCGAAGTAGCCAAGAGACGCCGCCGGACCGGCAAAAGCCGTGCCCTCGGATCTCCGGGTCGACGCCTGGGCCTGGGCCCTCGAGAGGGCAGCGGCGGAGCGCACGGGGGGAGCGAGGCGCTCCCTCACAGCACGGCGCCCTTCTTCGTGCGGAGGTGGTGGATGTCCAGCGCCTCTCTCGGGCCTCCTTCTCCCCTTTGTCATGTTTGTCCCGCTTTGCCTCTTTTTCCTCTTTTTCCTTCTCCTCCTCCTCCTCCTCCTCCTCCTCCTCCTCCTCCTCCTCCTGATCCTCCCCTACTTCCGCCCAGGATTGGGGACTCAGCGAAACTCCTGGCTGCGGGCATCGAGCTTCGCTCTCTGGCGATGACGACGCCTACGTGCTAACAGCTAACACGCATCGGTCTGCAGGAGCTCTGCTCGAAGCGCACCAGATCACAGTATGGTAACTCGTGAAGCCTCAACATAGCAAGCGGATGACGACCACTTGAGGCCAGAGGAGACGAAGACAGCTGATCGCACCGCATCGCTGATGCTGCATCGGCGATGCATCGGCGACCTTGGGATGGGGGGAAATCGGGCCCCGGATCTCAGCGCATCGCGGATGCATCGCCGTCCAGATTACATGGGGCTGGAAGATCGCACCGCATCACCGATACATCGGCGACGCAGCGGCGACGTCGGGATGGGGCGGGGAATCGGGCCGAGATAATCCATCGACCCCATCTTCTGCCCTGGCCCCATCTGGGCGGCATGTAGCAGGAGAGTGCCCCGAGAGATGGTCAATGGCAGAAGCTAAGCGGGCTGGAAGTGTGGGTCTTCCTCCTCCTCCTCCTCCTCCACCTCCTTCTCCTCCACCACCACCACCACCACCTCCTCCTCCTCCTCCCCCACCTCCTCCTCCCCGTGTGGCGAGGCATACGAATCCCCACCGCAAGCTGGCATGGACAACGCACGTGAGTATGGCCCTGCCCGAGGAGGGCAACGCTGGAATGCTGGGATGAGTGGTGGTGATGGCGGTGGGGATTGGTGCTGGGTTTCGCTGGCGTGGGTGATGGAGGAGGAGCGGTGGGCGCTGGCTGGTGAGTGGGTGCACGATGCAAGGCAGTGGGGGGTGGTGGTTGGCGAGTGATGTGTGTGTGTGTGTGTGTTGGATGGTGGGCATGGTGGTGGCCGGCAGGCCTGAAACCTATGCGAAGGACGGCGGACAAGCAAGGACCCGCTGGCCACGGCAGAGCGACGGCGAGCGGAAGCAGCGGCGGTTGAAGCAGCCACTCCACCACCAGGAGGGTTGGGAGGGAGGGATCAAGATCACAGAGCGAGAGAGAGATAGAGAGCGACACACACACACACACTGGCACGCACGCTCCTTGAACCATGCCGTCTTCCGGTCGAGCCCCTCTCGCAGCAGAGCCACGTACTCCTGGCGGAGAGAATGCGTCACAGAGCAGATCAAGAACAGATCGGCCATGCCAAGACGACGTGCTCTGCTCATGGATCCACCTGGAGAGCATGGGTGGGGACAGAGACAACGGCAGACGGAGGGGAAAGGGAGAGCGGACAACGGAGATGAGAAGAAAGGGCAGGAGAGATGAGAAGAGAGGAGTGAGCTAGGTGCGCTCGCGCAGTCGCCAGGATTTGACGGGCCTTCTGTGTTTTCTTTACTCATTTTGTCAGGGGGGCCTTCTGTACACAGTGGGAGGAGCAGCAGCACGGGGGGGGGGGGCCAGGAGGAGGCGGAGGAGCGCGGAGAGGAAGGGAGGGGGGGGGGGGGGGGCAACGACGAAGAAGGCATCGGATCCAGAAGTGTGGCTCGCGCCGAGGCGAGAGCGCCAGGCCGAATGACGGAAGCAGTGCGCCGATCCCGAAATGTGGCCAACGCCGGAGCGGGGGCACCATCTTTACGACCCGAAGACGCTACGGTCTAAAAGCACACACAGCTGCCAGCTCCTGATGGGGACCCCAGGTTGAGAGGATCACATTGCATTGGCTTCAGCGTGGTTAGGATGAAGATATTGAAGTGCCTGCCCAGGGAGCTGGTGACCCGGGCCGGGGTCAGCCAGGCCGTGCAAAATCCTGCAAGATCCTGCAGGACCCTGCAGAATCATGCGCCCAAGCCCGAGTCAGTGCGACCCTGGCTCTCCAGGACCCTGCAAGCCCCGGCGCTCTGACGGATCCCAGTTTGCACTGACCCCCGTCTCTTGAGCCCCGTCCTGCCCCCCCCACCCCCCTGTCTCTCCTCCGGACCCTGGAAGGCCTCTCAAGTCTCGCCTCTCCGGGGGCGGCCCAGGGACCCCCGCCTCCCACGGGCAGGCACGAGCACGCCGGCTCGGCGCTCCCAGGGCTCCCGACCACGGTGCCTCGGGAGTTGCCCCCTCGGCCCGCGCTCCCGAGGCCACGGCCTCTTGCAAACCACCACGGCTCTGCGCTCCTGGGGGCCACGATCCCATCCAGGGCTCCCAACTTCGCGCCTCGCGCTGCGCGAAGCGCGAACAACTTCGCGCTCTCGCGCCGCCCCCCCCCAACGGGAGAAAAGGAGGACGAGGAGGAGGGGGAGAAGGAACGAGGACCGCGAAGCGCGAAGCGCGAATAGCTTCGCGCCCTCGAGGGCGCCTTGCCCATGCACAGTCTGCTCCCAGGGCACAGGGCCACGACCCCTGGCAACCTGCGCTGGAGCCACGCTCCCCAGGGCCACGACCCCTGCAGCCTCCTCGCACCAGCAGCAGGGAGCGCAGGAGCGAAGGAGCGACGGGGCGACTCTCCGGCCACGGCAGGCCCGGGCCTCAGACAGGCTGACCACGACGGACGCCCGAAGGAACGGCCCGAAAGCCCGAGAGCCCCTCCGGAACCCCAGCGGGTCCTTACGTCAGCGTCTGAGGCTGCACTGTGGTGGCACTGGAGAAGGAAACCTTCGGTAAGGGACCCAGGGTCTGGAAGCCAGTGGAACTTCGATCCTGGATTCGCCATGGATATCGCCGGCGCCTTCGACCAGATAAGGAAGCCCCCAGGGCCGGAAGCCTCCTGGGCACATTCCTCAACCAACGC